AATGTTAGCTCTCAAAGTGAACCTCAGGACCTTTCCTGTCATGCTGGGCTACCGTAAGGATAAATAGATCCCCAGTATTAGTAATACAGACTTACAGTGAACAGTAAGGAGTGGTTAGAACCCTCCTTTGATGCAGTTGCCTGTTGGCCAAGAGAGCCCTGTGCAAGGATAGCTTAGAGCATTGACTCTGAGACAGTTAGTGGGCAGAGTCATCAAGGCAACCCAGGGACCTCTGCTGCAGAGACTGATTCAGAAGACAGTGTTGGAATGTGGATTTTAATTAGGACATAAAACAGTTCTGGTGAAGCAGAGCCACACTGTGGAGGCAGTGGGTGGGGGAAGCCCACTTAATCATTGCACAGTAGGGTTTTCCATGGTTCATCTCTTAACAGTAGTAACAGTATGGGAACCTAAGCTTTGAACAGAGGTGTCTAGCTGCATAGTTTCATATATTCTCATTTGTAGAAATAAGTTCATCATATGTTGAATGTTCATTATCAAAATTGAGCTTATTGTTTGAAAAAATACAAACAGAAGAAGGACCATCATTAAGTAGAATGCACCACCTTTGAAAGTTAATAAGCCTTGAGTATTCTTTACCAAAGGAAGTAAGTATTTAGTGACAAGGACCTCTGCACACAGTATTCTGTTTGATGAAGATTTCTTCGTCATTTCTCCTGGACTGCAGTCTGGATGCCATTAATCAGAGTGCTCTGGCTAATCTTAATTGTCATGGTGCTCTGAGGAGATGTGATGTGTAAGATATTCAAACCATGTGGGCTGTATTACTAAGAATCATTGCTAAGCCAGAGGATGAAGGGAAACTGGAATGAAACAACTCAGGCATCAGGTCTTGGTATTTCCTGTTGTTACTACTAGAATATTTTACTTTTTATGTAAAAAATGCAATATACTTAATTTTCCCTCTGATATTTATATGGTATGATTTATATATACATATATATCAAAATGCATGCCTACACACATACATAAAGCCATATTTGATGGCCCAAAGGAAGAGTCCCCAAGGGCTCTTTAGTGTGCAATTAATATTTTGGTCAGAAAAATCAGCAGATTGTTTCAGTATGGTTATGTGTTATGACATCATATTCCAGTAAAGTTATAATGAACAGAAATTTTGTTTGTCTCTGTGGCAAACCAAAATGAGTTTTGTAATTGTCAGCAGACCTTAGTGATTACAGTGGCGCCCACTCCCTCTCCTGTAGTTAAAGGTCTCAGCATTCCAGTTGTGGACCTCTATTTTCAGAAGTTTATAATTAATTGTAAGCATTTGTTCTTTGGGGAATGCTTGCCATGTAAGATCAGTTCAGGAGGTGATTTCTGATTTCAAGTAGTGTATCTTGAAGTTTTATAGAACCGATTAAATATGTACGGGTCTAAGGAGGTGGGAAGTAAAGGTTGTGGATGACTGAGTGGTATATATACATTATTCATATTAGTGTGTTGAAAGTTTTGGATTAAAGGCATGAGTAGTAAGCTGCAGGGAGTTGTGCTTTCAGCACCCTGTTTGGTTATTGTAATCAAAGGAAAAAAGATTGCAGTTTAAAATTCTTTTTAGTCTTTAGGTGTTAAAAATAGTATTTTACTGTCACCATTTCTTTCTTTTTTATGTTATCCTAATTTAAAAATAAGGATACTTATATTCACTTAAAACACCTTATTTTAAACACACACACACACACACACACACACACACACACACACAGTAGAAAACTGTGAGCCATAAAAACCAATGGTTAGCATTTAAAACTTTACTTTTTCTGTTGCCATGCTCTAGATTTCTCCAGTCCCTTAGACACTGTTGATTATCCCTATCCCCGACATTATGTTGTAATTTCTTCTCTGGCTCTGACCCTCTTTTATCCTGTCCTCTGCCATCTATTGTTTCCCCTGCACTTTGATCATAGGCATTAATCAGAGTCCGGCCTCAGGCTCTCTCTAGGTTCCTTTACATGTGTCCTTTCCAGGTGTTTATCCACTCACACGGTCTCAATTATTGCCTTACTAATCTTTTTGTTATTGGTGCTGATCTTCATCTTCAGTAAAGCTTCATTGATTTAGTCCCATTTGCCCGGTAAACTTTAACATTGTGAACTCTCTCCAGTTTTATCTTGGACTGTGTGAAGAATACCACAACTTGGATGTTTAATAACCATTTAAAATATGTTGTGATTTCAAGTTGGGGGTATAACTTGAAGTTATACTAGAGTACTTGTCTACCACATGCAAAACCTTGGGTTCAGTCATGAGCATGAAAAGAAAAAAAAGCAGGACCTCAATGGACTTTGGTTTGAAGACATTTTCCAGCAGTGGAATAATTTTTTAACTTAATTTTTAGCATTAAAATTACAGATCCATTATTCCATCAAAATCAATCCTGTTCATAGCACTAAGTCACTCAATTCAGTGATCATACTGTCCAGTCCTAGTTTTACTTTGTCGTTACTCAGGTGTCATGGCATTATGACCCTGTGTTTATTGGTCTTTCTGTTAGCTCTATGTCTCACAGGTCCTTATTTTTCTCTTTTTTTAATGCCATCTCTATATTGATCATTCCCACATTTAATCTTCACCTTAGACCTCTTTATTAGAGCCCAAACTCATAAATGTGATTCCCACATGTCTGCTGAAGGTCTGATTTCCCTAACAGCTTCATTTTCCAGAGTAGAGTTGCTGGTGTCTATCTGGAACACCCATATCCCTTGTGCAGTCTTAGTGTTCCACTGAGTGCTCTCTTCTAAGGCTCTGGGGTGACTTTGAGTCAGTTTGAAGATGTCCTGAACTTGTTGAGCCAGTCCATCATCAGGGGCCTACTGGTAGGCTTTTGTTTCAGGTTGAGGAAGGAGGCTGAGGAAGAAAGTGGCCATCTTGAAAACTGGCCACCTTTATTACCTAGCCATGGCCTCCCTCCCTCCTTGCCTGTCTGTCTAACTCCTGATCTTTAACTTCCTACATAAGAATGAACTTAAATACTCCTCAGCACCACGTCAGAGAAATGCACATCAAACTTCCATATCAAATGCAGTGGGAGTCCAGAATAGGAGAATAGGGAGCTCTCATATCCCATTAGAATGTAGGTTAGTATATTCATTATGGAAAACAGCAGAGATTCCTTAAAAACAGCAACATCAAAACCAACAGAACACACTAAACTTAGAAACAGAACTACCTTAGTCTCCCCAGTGGAACTGATTTTGAAGACACATCTACAGCAATATTCACGGTAGCCAAGATTTGGAATCAACCTAGGTATCAGTGAACAAATAGCTAAAGAAAGTATGATTAACAATGGAATGTTACTCAGCCATAAAAAGAATGAAATTGTTTTATATGCAGCAGCAGGGGTGAAGCTGGAGAACATTCTATTAAGTGAAATGAATCAGGCATAGAAAGAAAAGCACTGTATGGTCTCACGTACAGGAAGTGTTACATGAGTTCTAATAGGTCTCAATAGTAAAAGCCCAATAGAGGAAAATGCTGAGAGATCAGAGAGACAAAGGAGCAAAACCACAGCCACCTTACACACTCAACTTCCCAGCCCAAAAGAGACTGAGCTCCTGTCTCTTCCCACCTTATCACTTCCTGTGTGTCTGTACAGACCTCCATACCTCTATGGTTAACTAGTGGCTAGCTCCACCCTCTAATCTTCAGGCAAGCTTTATTTGTGCAAACAAGATATCATCACAAGGAAGCTAATAAATTTGATATTAAGAAAGGTAGAGAGTAGAATAGTAGTTACCAGATTCTGAAAAGGGTGTTCAGCAAGAGAGAATGGGGAGGAAATATTTAATGGGGTTCAGGGTTCATTGGGTTATAGGAATGATGTATATGTTCTATGCAGTATAGTAGAAAAACCATGGGTAATAAAAGTTAACTCAGTATTTCAACAGGGAGCATTTTGAACATTCCCAGCACAAAGAAATGGTGCATTTCTGAGGTAGTACACATGCCAGTTACCCTAATCTGATTGTTACGCATTGTGTACGTGATGAAATGTCACTGCCTTCTGAAATATGTACGGGTGCTGTGGCCAGTTTAAAATAAACATTTTTTTAAAATAATGGGTGTAAATTCTTCAGTTTTTGTTATGTCATGTGATGTCTTTATTACTTTATATCATACTCTCTGCCCCCATAGCACTAGTACAGCCATTATTTACTATGAGCCCAGTAATGTACTTGCAGCCACCTAAAAGTGCTCGCCTGTCTCCAGCTTCTGTAATGCTTCCCATTTTCAGTCACAAACTATTCCATTCTCATCTGTCAAGACTAACTAAAACTTCATTAGAAAATCTCCTGTGATACCGTTAGATAGTGTTCACTGCATTCACTTATGTTTAATGTTACATTTTTCATGGAAGTCAGTGTACACTGTTATGTGTAGATATGTTGACTCACATTTTACCTTAGAAATATATTCATGAGTTTAAGACTGTATTAGGGTTAGTAAGAGAACATGCAGTACATCCCATAGTTATTACCATTTTAAGTGAATAATCTATGGTTATGGTTATAGACTGATACTGAGCTACCTACTAATGCTTGTGTTTTCTTTTTGTAGGTATCATTGCCCAATGCCCAAGATTTTTTATGTTCAGTTGACTGTAGGAAATAATGAATTCTTTGGTGAAGGGAAGACTCGACAAGCTGCCAGACACAATGCTGCAATGAAAGCCCTTCAAGCTCTGCAGAATGAACCTATTCCAGAAAAGTCTCCCCAGGTGTGGTGCTGCTGAGTGTGACAGTCTCTTTCCTGTGCCTCCCTGGGGACGTTACTGAGCAGACAAATAAAGTAATTGTATACTAACAGAAATAATCTGTTCAGCTAGAGAAGGGGCATGACAGTTTGCTCTCACATGCCTGTTACTATACTAAACTCACACATTCCTTCCGGGAAGACCTCGGCTCACCAGTGGAAGTCACTTGCCAGGCAACATGCATGTGTGTATAAAGATGGAAGGTAACATTCATTTGCCTTACATTTAATGTGCCTTGTATTGGGAAGAGATTACATTGTGTGAACCTGAGATCAAGGAATGTAGGCAAACACCACAATGGATTTCAGCAGTTCAGGGAGTTGAACAGAGGGCCTTGTGCTTTAAAGACAACACTCTTTCAGCTGAGCCACATCCCCAGCCTGAGGTCAAGGAATATAAAGAGGAGGAGATTGCTTGAGAATTTGGAGTCCTACTTTAGTTTTCAAATTAGAATGCTAAGGCTATTCTTGGGTAATTTTACCCATTCTTATGGTTTCATCTACTTTCTCCACTGACTTTAATAATATCTCTAGTTCAGACATTTCCTATAGCCAGCATCTTACTCTTTTCTGCTGAGATATTCAAATCTTACAGTTCCGTCTCCTAGATTATCCTTTCTCCAAACATGGTAGTCTTCCTTTCTTTGAAATTTGTTATAATGGTGGGCATACATGTTTCTCTGCTGGTGCAACTGTTTATGGCAACAGTTAACCATTTCTAATTAGATTGTAAGCCTCCTGATAGCAAGAATTGTTCCTTTATTCCTTTATTCCTTTATTTCATGCTCACTGTTCAGCACAGATGAGACTCTCCAGAAGTATGTACTGCATAAGTGAATAGGTGATGCTGCTGCTGCGGACACAGTTCCGACTTCTTGGTTTACATCCTGTGCTCTGTCTGTTATGTAAACCCATGGGTCATGTTAGAACAACAGTTGGGTAGTGAGGCAGGTGGGCCTCACTCTACAGTAAAAGATTTGGATCCAAAGAATGTGTGGTTGGGGAGAACGCTTTCAAACTCAACATTAGCTGCTTCTGCTTCAAGCAAAACAAAATGAAATTCAGAAGCCTGGCAGCATAGTCCTTGCCTTATGATAATTCCAAGAGAATCCACTGTATGTCCATGCCTGTTATTTCAAGCTAGACCCACCTGGTTGCAGAACAGTATGAAAGTTATTGTGATGTCTAGCTCCAATGCTACCCTGTTTTTGTTTTATTTTGTTTTGTTTTTGTTTTTTGTGACTTAGAATGGTGAATCAGGGAAAGAAATGGATGATGACAAAGATGCAAATAAATCTGAAATAAGCTTAGTGTTTGAAATTGCTCTGAAGAGAAATATGCCTGTCAGTTTTGAGGTAAGAGTTCATGTGCTTTTCTTTGATTATTTAAACAAGTTAAATGATGTACTAGATTGTTGCAGGAATGCATAAGCTCCTTGGGATCTATTACCATGACATGATTTAGGCCCAGGAGGAATAGAAATCACTGTAATGTTATGAATATTGTGGGTCTCCTTAACTTTTTTGTACTAGGCTTTCTTTATACATGACATTTCAGTTATGACCATAAAATTTGTTTTCTGATCATAATTTTTGTTAATCTATAGAATTCAGTATTTTATTTACCATTAATTTGATTCTATTTAATTCAAGTTATGAGTCAAGCTAATGTTTAGTGATACTATGCTAATATCCACTTCCTTTTAATTGTACAGAGATGAAAACATGTTTGCCCTATTTTGGGGGAGATGCTGGGAATCATACCTAGGACCTTGCCACATGCTAAGTACATACTCTAGGACTAAACTAGTTCCAAAATATGTCTAACATTAACTGACAAATCACCAAAGAGAAATGATACAGACGCTTACAACTAAGTATGTACAAACTAAATGTTTACAAAAGTATATGAAATGTTTGAAAAGAGAAAACCTTAAAAACAATTCTTTAATGCTTTCCATATTAAGAAATCATTATTTTTGAAGCTAATATATAGAAAGTAGGCAAGAATGAAGAAATAAGCTCAAACTGTGAGAAGAATTCTCCTCTAGGTTTTACAGCATTTACCTTCTGGGAAATGCCTGCATTCTACTTATTGAAAGGAACACTGGAATGAGAAACTGCTTTCTTCTGGAACAAGTCATATTACCTGACTTCTTGGCCTATAGCAGGTTGAAAGTAGTGAAATCAGAAAGGCAGGAAGAAAAAGTAGACTGATTGTGGGGAAACTGTGATGCCTACCTAGAGTGTTCAGCACATATCCAAAACTCATTGGAGTGTAGGGTCTTTTAAAGACTAAAATAAATGGAAAGGAAATTTTGTAAGTCACAGCAAATAGCAGTCCTGTATGTTATGGCATAGAGTATTGATATTCATACCGATGATCCACTGTGACAATAAAAGGTTAAACACCCAGTATTCCCCAGTGAGTCAGTAAATCACGTTTGTGTGTGCGTGGTGCCTGTGTACATGCACAGTTGTTCCCTGTGTATGTGTGTACACGAACGTTTGTTTGCAGCCTAGAGGTTGACATAGGGTAAATCATTCTGTGCCTTTTAAGGCAGAAGGAGGGTTGGAGCCAAAACTCAGAAATGAACCAAGGATCTTTCTCTACTTTAATTTTTGGGAAAAGGTCTCTCACTTGGCTTGACTGGCTGGCCAATGAGTGCCAGACATGTGCCTATGTTCATCTCACTCAGTGTTGGGTTTGCAGGCGTGTGCCACAATGCCTGGTTCTTACACAGATGCTGGAGATCTGAACTCAGGTCCTCATGCTTGCACAGCAGGCACCCTACTAACTAGGCCATCTCTCTAGCCCAGTAAATCACTTTTATAATTAATAAGCATGTGCATTGGAATGTAAAAATGAACAGTTGGTGTTTAAATTAGTAAACTTGAGTTACTTGAAAAGTATACTTTTAACTAATTCCTTAGTCTACTAATGTTGGGTTATTAAGATACTATGTTGTTTTTAATTCCTTTTCCTAATTGGACCCCAGTATTAGAAGATAAAATTCCAATTAAGTGGTAAACTGAATACTGTATATTCCTTAGATCAGAATTTTAAAGGAAACTAGGATTTTGAGTATTCAGGAGTTGGAATAAATCTTTCCTCTACAAGACGGTATAGTTTAAATGTAAGAGAATATTGAGTAATCAGGGATATTCCTAGTTGAAAGTTTCATAATTCTTTACACAGAAAACCTACAAATTTTTATGGTCTATCAGTGTACCATCTAAGATCACGTCACCAGAATTCCCAAGAGCTTAAATCCCCTTATGAAAACAGTGTTTGAGGTCTCTAATGGGAGGTTAATTTTTCATCCTTTTTCTGTTTTTGAAAGTCTGCCACAGGTGAATACTTCATAACTCATTGGTGTTTGAAATATGTATAAACATAGACTAAAATGCTATACAATTGTTTTCTGTTCCATTATGATCTTATAGAAACATAGTCAAGTATGTGGTACTATACAATGGACCATTGTATGGTAAGACTTCATCATCTTTGACCTCTGGTGTTTTCCCCTGATAGAGGACACCATTAGATATATTTGTAGTGATGTCATTTTCACTCTTGATGGCTTACATAGTTTGGAATCATAGCTGATATGGCATGTTCTATACTGTCAGCTTTGTGTTCTATAAGGCATGGGGAAACATAACTGATGGTAAATTTCATGCTTCTAGAGATTTCTTTCACCTTTGGTTAATTGAGAATCAGAAATCTTTTACCTGAACACTGCTGATATCATATCTTTAGAATACCTATCTGAAAGAGACTATAATTTTGGCATGATTCTCCAGGTTAGTTGGAGAAACTATTAAGAAAGATTCATGCTAGTAAACACAAATGCTGGTGTGTTGGTTAATATTCTACTTGTATTTAATAGGTTATTAAAGAGAGCGGACCACCACATATGAAGAGTTTTGTTACCCGGGTGTCAGTGGGAGAATTTTCTGCAGAAGGAGAAGGAAATAGCAAAAAACTGTCCAAGAAGCGTGCGGCAACCACTGTTTTACAGGAGCTTAAAAAACTTCCACCTCTTCCTGTGGTAGAAAAGCCAAAACTATTTTTTAAAAAACGCCCTAAA